TTCGACAAAATATATAACAATAAAAATTCTTAAATAGATGTTTCTTAGATTACATAGTTATTCCAAAATAGATGATTTTAAGATTACATAGATGTTCTAAAAAGTATTGGTGCACAATGAAGATAAAAGGCAAAAGGAATATTTACTGATAACTTCTAAAATAAGGATTTACAATGAATTACAATAACCTACTCCACTAGGCTATTTATACACACAAATTAAATCTAAAATATATCTTCTACAAAGATATAAGAAGATCTAAGATATATATCTTCTAACAAAGATATAAACAATCTAAAAGATATTCCTAAATATAAACTAATATCTAATTAAATCTAAATTAATTCTAACACCATCCCTTAATTTATATTAACCCAAAACTAAAAACACAAATTTCATCCCTTAAACCAAGAAATTGATTTGACAGCTGCTTCTGAGTGCTACAATGCACAACCTCTATTATTCCATTTTGAACTTCCTCTTACGTACTCACGGGTTCAGAGTCTACTAGCATTACACACTGAATAACTTCTCCTTCAGAGTCTACTTCAGTGTCTTGCAACATGTCAAACTCTGCAAATCTTCTTGGGATGCTTCTGACTCTTTGTTGCATATGAACTGGACCTGCAGAACCTTGGACACCAGAACTTCCCCCTTCAGAAGATCTTACTTCAGAGTTTTGACTTTCTCCAGAACCTTGACTGTCTTCAGAGTCTTGAAAATTCTCAGGGTCTAAATCATCATCAAAGTCAGAGCCACTACCTTCAGAAATACCATCTTCAAAAGTTGGATCACTTTCAGAAGCCATGCCTTCAGAAATTCCACTTTCAGAGTCATGATCACTGTCAAAGACTAAATTTACTTGAAAAGCTCCTCCTTCAGAAGGTCCATCATTAGAGTCATTATTTCCACCGGAAACTTGATCATCTTTAGAAGTTTGTCCTCCAGAACCTACGTCTTGAGAGTTTTCTCTTCCAAAACATGATCACCATCAAATTCTGGATCAGAATCAGATTCACCATATGACTCACCTTCAGAGTTTCCAGAGTCATCATCTTCTGACTCTTCTTCTGAAGCAGAATCTTCTTCAGACTCAGAATCACCTTCGGATTCTGACTTGTCTTCAGCTTCAGAGTCATCTTCTAACTCTAACTCGTCTTCAAAAACCTCAGATTTTGACTCATCTTCAAAATCTTCAGCGTCATCTTCAAATTCTGACTCAGTCATATTCTGATTCTGACTCATACAAAATCACTCCTTCAAAATCAGAATATTCAGAGTCAGAGTCTTTACTAGCTTCAGAAACATGTATTTCTGACCTTTCTTCAGAAGTTCTATCATCAGAGTCAGGACAAGAATTTTCCCAATTACAAACTTCTGATTCCTCTACAATGACGTATATGTTAAACTCAACTTTGTTAGTTTATGGACAATAAAGTTTGTACGAACCTGTACTGTGATACCCCACCAACAACATCACTTTACTTCTATCATCCAGCTTCTGTCTTCTGGCTTCTGGGACATGTTTGTAACATACAGAACCAAATACCTTCAGATGACTAACACTTTGCTTATCTTCACTCCACTTTTGAATAGGAACTATTTCCTTTAATTTCTTTGTTGGACATCTGTTGAGCACATAACATGCAATTGCAACAACTTCTCCCCATAGAGTATGAGGAAGATTTTTCTCTTTCAGCATGCTTCTCACCATATCTAGCAAAGTACGATTTCTTCTTTCAGCAAGACCATTATGTTGAGGAGTATATGGAGCAGTAACCTCATGCTCAATTCCATTCTCCTCATAAAAACTTCTGAATTTTGTGGAGTTATACTCACCACCACCTTCAGTTCTAAGAAATTTTAGAGTCTGGCCACTCTGATTCTCAGCCTTCAGTCTGAACTTTTTGAATTCAGCAAACACCTCGTGTTTGAACTTTATGAGAGATACCCATTTCATTCTAGTGAACTCATCAACAAATGACACAAAATATTTATTCCCTCCAGTCGATGCTACTGGAAACGGACCACACACATCAGAATGTACTACTCCCAAGGCATGTTTTGCTCTTGGAGCTACTTCTAATGTAAAGGGTAATCTTGGTTGCTTCCCTTCTATGCACACCTTGCATGACTTTTCAGGCTTCTTGATTGTAGGAATTCCACGTACCAGATTCTTTGATTTCAGATGCCCTAAACTTCTGAAATTCAGATGACCAAATCTTCTGTGCCACAACTCACTCTCCTTGACAAGACTGGTTGCACTAAGACATTCAGATTCTGCAGTTTTAACATTCACCTTGAATGTTCTGTTCGCTCCCTGTTCTGACTCCATAATCAGCTTCTGATTACAGTCATACAGCTTCAGAAGATTGTCCTTCATGGTAACTGAAAAACCTTTCTCAACCAGTTGTCCCACACTCATCAGATTACTTTTCATGCCAGGTACATACCAAACATTCTGGATCACAGCTGCTTTCCCATTGTTTATAATGATTCTGACATTTCCCATACCTTCTGCATTGAGGTATTTGCCATCAGCACATATGATCTTTGTACTCTTCCCATAGTCAAAGTCAACCAACCACTTCTTGTTTCCAGTAAGATTTTTTGAACACCCTGTGTCCATATACCACCATTCGGATGAATTCAGATCATCAGGTTCAAAAGCCAACAATAGCACAGATTCATCATCTGAAGCTCCTATGGCTATATTTGATTCTTCTTACTTCCTTTCTTTGTTTGACCAGCAATCTTTGGCACAGTGACCAAAGTTCCTGCAACAGTAACACTGAACATTCTTCTTGTCAGACTTCTCCTTTCCCCTCTGGACATTCTTCTTCCTATCAGAGTTTGAAGCTTCTGACCTTTGTCCACCATTAGTTTTCTTCTTGGCTTCTGACCAAGTCTGCTTCTGATGCTTCTTACCAGAAGTTACTTTTAGAGCCTACTGCTCTACTTCCCTCTCAGAAGTTCTTGCAGTCATACGTAACTCATGCGCTTCTAGACTACTTTGCATCTCTTCAACTCTCATGGTGCTCATATCTTTAGAATGTTCAATTGCTACCACAATGTAATCAAACTGAGAAGTTAAAGATCTCAAGATCTTCTCAATAATTACTTGTTCAGACAGAGTTTCTCCACAAGCTTTCATCTCATTAGTTATCAGAATCACTCTAGAGATGTATTCAGAAACCTTCTCGTTGTCCTTCATGTTGAGATTCTCATATTGCTTTCTAAGAGACTGAAGCTTCACCTTCTTCACTGATGCGTTACCACCGTAACATCTAACCAGTGTGTCCCACGCAGCCTTTGCTGTTTCAGAATCAACAATCTTCTCAAACACATTCACATCCACACATTGATGGATGTATAACAACGCTTTCTTATCTTTCTTTCTAAGCACCTTCTGTGCTATCTTCTGGTCCTCTGTTGCACCTACTTCTAACAGATTATAGCCATCAGTAACAAGTTCTAACACATCTTGAGAACCAAATAACACGCGCATCTAGATCTTCCAATGATTCCGGTTTTTGCCATCAAATACTGGAAGCTTGGAATGAATATCTCAGTTTCTGTTCATCTTCTACCTTGTGCAGTTTACGCAGAAACTCAATGAAAAATCAATGTTTCCCAAATTCCAGAGTTTCTAACCAGGGGCTCTAGATACCAAATGTTGGTGCATAATGAAGATAAAAGGCAAAAGGAATATTTATTGATAACTTCTAAAATAAATATTTACAATGAATTATAATAACCTACTCCACTAGGCTATTTATACACACAAATTAAATCTAAAATATATCTTCTACAAAGATATAAGAAGATCTGAGATATATATCTTCTAACAAAGATATAAACAATCTAAAAGATATTCCTAAATATAAACTAATATCTAATTAAATCTAAATTAATTCTAACAAAAAGTAGCACATATTGTGCATAACATATATGTTTCAAAATACATGTTTCTTAGATTACAATACAAACTAACTAATAATAAGCATTACTGAGTCATTATTTTTGAAATATTCTACCATGACCTCATTCTCTTCACACATGATTTTTGATCAACTACCAATGGTGCAACTAAAGTTAAACCATACCCAGTATTGCTTTTGGATCGCCAAGTAGATTTTAATTTATTATTACTCCTCTTAGGTGTCTGTGTAATCTTCTCACCAACTTTGTTCTTCTTCTAAACTGCTTTCATCACTTGTTTCTTTTTCTCAACTTCTTGGAAACTTGCTTCTTCTTCTCAATTACTTTGGAAACTTGTTTCTTATTTTCAATTGCTTTGTCAACTGTTACGTAAACTGCTCAGGGAACTATTTTGTCAGCTTCTTCTTATGTCTTCTTAGTTTGTGCAGCATCAGGTATGGGATTGCACAATTAAGATTATGGATCCCAGGATGGTTGGTCTTCAAAAGATGCCATCATCTCTTCAAGCAGTGCATCTAAATTTTGGTCATTTATTTCATGCACACTTTTAAAATCCTTCGTATTAGACACTCCTTCAGTTTTAGTAGTTGAAGAGGCCTTGGTCCTTGGTGTTTTACTTTGCACACAATGAATAAGCAAACATTTTGTCAAACATCAATAGTTTGTAAATTAGAATAATACTTAAGAAACACAAATCATTACCTTTCTTTTTAATGCATTAGGATTATGTTATTTGCTCCGCCACTTCCTTCAATTTTGGCCAAATTTGTCACACTTTGTGCATCTATAAGCTACACTAAGCCTCCTCATCCTTGATCCAATTTCATCATGCTCTCAAAACCTCAATTTCTTAGGCCTACATGTACCCTTCTTATACTGAGATGGCAATATGTCTTTAACATCCACATTTGGCCATATGTCCATACCATTGATTAGAATGAAATTGTTTTCATAGCCGGTTTTATAAGTATCCCTCATGTAACATGATTCAACATATAATTAAGGGTTCAAATTTTGATACTGCATAACAAACACAACATGTCTTCAAGGTATCCCCACTAGGTCCCAAAAGCAACATGTACAACTTTTTTCCCAAGATCGACTACAAATTGTAGTCCATTATATGGATGATAAACTTTCCACAACTCATCCATACTCCATGTTGGCATCCATTCACCACTCATTAGAATATCCTTATCTAATCTTTTCCTAGGTATGGGCAGGACATTGTCTTCATTTTTCAAGCTTAATTAAACTTTTAGCAATGTTTTCAAACATCTCCTCAAATACACTCACTTGCTTAGATACCCACCTGGCATTGCCATATTTGTTATCTAATACTCTTGCACATGTGTGTGTCCCCATCCATGTATTTAATTGGTAAGTGTGTTTGTCACCCACTTTACTATATAATGATAGAAAAACATATTTACCCCTACACTTTATCCTAACCCTATAACTTTCATTGTTAACAAATGTTATCTCTCTTCCATTTAAAACATATCACTCCCTAATTGCATCTTTAAATTCAGACAAAGAATTAAATTGCATACCTAGTTTAAATTGGAAGTCCTTGTTCAACAACTCTCCTCTAAACTTCTCATACTTAGGCTTTAGTTGTTTTTCATTGTCACTATCTTCATGGTCAGAGCTTTGCAATTCTTCATTATCATAGTCCACATCTTGACTTCCAACATTATTTCTATTCCTATTTGAACTAGATCCTAAAATACTAGCAGGAACGAACATATTCACTTTTCTCGAGTAGTTCATTTTTTTGGGACTTTTGGAACCCATAACCTTGTATTTATAATACTTGCCATTAAACTCAACCCTGGTACCAGGAATTGGTCTTTCCACCTCAACTTGAAATCCTTCCTCTATTTCACATGTTCATTCTTCTTTACTATCATCCAATTTTATTCCTCCATCATCATCATCAAAGCTATCAATATCACTAGATTCACTTAATTGATCAACATCAGGCTTTAACACCTTGCTTCCCATGTCTTCAACACCATGTTCTACCCAGATATGCTCATCAACATTACTACTAAGGTTATGATTAGAAATTTCTCCAGCTTGTACATCATCAATGAAATGAATAAACCCTTTATCGAGTCCTGGTATCTTACTCCAAAGTCCACATCCCTCATAACCCCAGTCTTTAACTAAGCTAATCGCCTCGAAAAAACTACACTTATTAGAGTCTTGCCCTTTTACAATAATTTCACTTCCTCCCCTTTAAAACAAGTGTTTGTCATGAACAAAGTTTCCCCATGATGAAATATCACACTGAATAACCTCATTTCTATAATTACAGATATACCCAAACGTTAAAATATGACTAAGTGAAACCCTAAATTCGAAAAACTACAAGTTACTAAAAAAAATGGAACTGGGACCACTAAAAAGTAGTAAAGGTTATTCAAATTGTACCTTTTTAATACCATAAATATTGCACTACAAGGCGAAACTGCGACGATTTAATGTGACTGAGCTTTTTCTATGGGAAATAAGGGTTCAAGGATTTGTGGTTGAACGGTGAAGATAAAAGAAACGCAAACAAAATGGTTGATTTTCAATGTTGAAGTATTCAATGTTGAACTATGAACGATGAACATGGAAGAAGGAGCGTGTAAGATGAGTTTCTTTGGGAACTTAGGTTTTCCTCAAATTGTGATTTTGGGTAAATGATTTGTTTTTTACTTGGGGGCATTTGGATCAATTTACACACTAAAATGCACAAATGGAACAAAGATTAAATGAAAAATATAAAAAAATAGTGTCACATTAGCTTTTTTGATGATTTGGTCTGATGAAGGTCAAAAGTAGATAATATTTAAATGTTAAGAGATTTCATCAAACTTTTTTTTATAAGTGAATTTTTCGAAAATGACCTATATGACAGAGAAAATAGGTATTTATCCTAAATTATATTTAATATTGTTTAAATTATAAAATTTGAATTTATTAAAATTTACAGTCTCAAATTTCAAACATAATATTTTGGAAAAAATATAAGACGAACGCGCAAGAGGTTTGGGGAAAGGGGTTGAGAGAATCACCTTAGTTAATAAAATTCTCAACTTTTCAATCAGTCTTATAAATATACTTTGGTCTTGAAAAAATAGAATATTTCTAATGAGTTGAAAAATGTTTTTCTAAGTTGCTCTAAGTTGTAGAAATGCACAAGAAGTTACTTGATTAGTGAATTTAGTTATACCTTCCTTTAAAATTTGTTGGTGGCTATTAATAAGTAGTTAGACAGTTAATCCTTCAAAAAACTCTATATACATGATTAGTGAGTTAGTTATAACTTACCTCAAAATTAGTTTATGGCTCTTAATAAGTAGTTAGGCAATTAATCTTTCAAAAACTCTATATATAGAGAAGCCTCCGAGTACCAATATCTAGAGATGTATATGGGTTGGGCAAATCCAATAAATTTAGTAATACCTATCTAAATCGATTCAAAAAATGGATTGAGTTATTGGGTGAACACGGTTTTCAAAAATGAAAGGGATTTTTTTTATTACACCCTATGTAATTCCTAAAAATTCCTTACGTTTTCGGAGATACATCTCCAGACGTACCCTTTTTTGTTAAACTTCAGTTTATTCCAGAGATACATATTTGGGAAAGTATCGGAGATGTATTTTCGATATTTATGCAGACAGAACCACACCATAGTTTTTAATGTTTCTCATATTTTAACTATAAAATGAATACAAAGACCATTATCAAGACTATATTCACGACATGAATACAAATATATATATATATATATATATATATATATATATATATATATATATATATATATATATATATATATATATATATATATATATATATATATATATATATATATATATATATATATATATATATATATATATATATATATATATATATATATATATTAGTCAACATTACAACATGTATCAAAAGTCGATAACTAAAATACAATCCAAAGTCGATAAAAAAATATTATTAAAAGTCAATAACCAAAATACAATCTAAAGTATACAAATGTGAAGACTATTGCGTATGACGGACTATGAGTCAGCCCCACACCCTCTTGGTATTCTTGCGTTGCCTTCTGTACTGTAGAGCCTCCCGAGCCTCCGCTATGGTGGAATCTAAAACACCTCTAACCTCAAAGCCATAAGGAAACTATCATCCATCAATACATGTTTGTCCAATCTCCACGATACGAGTGCACCTAGGCAACACATCATGAGCATGATAGGCCATAACCCGCTCCTCCTCTAAAATCTCCTGATGAGCTGATCTAGGTGGGTTTCCCGGAGCATCTTGTACCAAATATGGATGGAATACCTTGAAGAACCATCAGATGTAACCATCCACGTTGCTCCAGTCGTCTGGTGCTATGGTACTCTATATCTCATCTGATACTAGATGATTAACCTAATCATCAAACATGACATCCATATCCCTGCATTTCACTAGGGGAAGAGCAGACACAATAAGATCTCTGGGAATATACTATACCATCAACTCAAGTCCCTCTTCCTTGTCCCCCTTCCCACAATCTAAAAACTCCCTCTTATTGAAAGATGCAACAGACACGCTACATCGTCCAATGTGATCGTCATCTCACTATGTGGTAGATGGAACAATGGCGTATCGTGATGCCATCTCTCAACAAAAGCGTTAATTATACCATGATTAACAATAATATATCCATAGAGGGTCAAATATTTCAACCCATAAAGTTGCAAGACATCCTGAAACCATGGCTCACTGAGTGCTGTCAGGCGACTGATATTCCGCGCATGATTAATGATCTTTAGAGGATCACGTTCCCGCATACATGGTTTAACAAAAATGATTCAACCAAGCAAAACTTGATAATAAAATAAACACTACAATAATTAATAGTTCCAACCAATTTTTACCTCTCCGTCCCAGATATGTCTAGCAACATGGTCCGGGTATAGAGGGAGCGATGATAAATCAGAAGGTCTTCCTCCAAAACTCCGAGGTTCCACAAGTACAACCTCATCTTCCCAGGCTGGGTTTGGAATGCATCAGGCACCAACTGTGTGGCCGCAGGTGCGTCCTCATCTGCCTGGTCCTAGGGCTGGGACGCCTGTGACCCTCAGGTGCCGCTTAGGATTGAGGTGCAGCCTGAGACTGAGGTTGGAATGCATTAGGTACCGAATGTGTGGCCTCAAGTGTCGGTTGGGAGTGTGATGTCTCTCATGTCTCAAATACCATATGTAAAGTAGTGTGTTTACATGAAGAAGGAGGCGGGGAGGCATGATCAGGAGAACCTCGCCTGCTGCGGGAGAACGAAGAAGAAGGCGGAGAAACGTGAACACCAGAACTTGTAGCCACCTCTACCACAATCTATCCAGAGGTAGAAGGAGCTTGTGATGCCTGACTCATTTCTCTCTGAACCGAAGTATGTTGTGCAAGCCTGCCGCGTCTCAACCTAGATGCTCTTTCAGCCATAACTCATGTAAAAATACGAAACAAACGTTACACAATGACTCATGTTCAAAAAAAGAAAAAAATGCAGACAAACTAATACCGGAGATGTATCTCTAGTTTTTTATGTAAACGTTAAAAATTTTGGAAATGTATCTCCAGTACTACCTGTAATTTTCTGATTCGTCAATGGCGAATGTCAGGCTACCAAGACCTTAAAAAAATGTTCATTTATCGAAAAACAACCTTACTAAGACATTTAACCATACTTCTAAGCTTGCAAACACTACAAATATTTCAATTATCTAACTTAAAACTCAATTTCTAAATGCATTTACATTAACTCAAAAAGGGTAAAAAAAAACACTTACAATTTCACCTCAAAAATATGATTCTTGTTGGTTGATGAAGCTCCAACACTGATGTTAGATGATACTTGATTGTTGTTTGTTGATCTTTGATGAGAGTTCCGCACAAGGGAGTTGTTGGAGATTTGAGAGGGTTTTGATGTTTTGCTTAAAATGTGTTTCTGAGAGTTAGGAAGGGGAAGATACGAACGCGCGTATTTGTGTCAATATATTCCAGAAATACAACTACGAGTCCCTTCCGTAAGTGCAACTCCAGAGTATTTCTGCGTGACATATAAGGTTTCTTAGGCTAAACTAGAATATGCAGTTGGGGTGCTTTCGGAGATACAACTATAGGTCATTCCCGTAAATGCATCTCCGGCCTGACTAAAGGTGCTTCTAAAGATATATTTTCAGAAGTTGGGGACATTTTTTGTATTTTTGCACGGTGCGCTAGAAAGATATGGGTGTGTTAAGAAATAATTAGGTTATGGATAAACTCATACCAAACCCACAAAACTCATGGGTTATTGAGTGATTATTTTTTACTCTTTTTATAATTTTATGAATGATGAATTTGATGTCTTTAATCTTGATTGCTTCAATTAAAATATTTTGAATATCTTTTATTTTGTAAGTAATAATTTTAACTTATTTAAAATGTCACACTTTAATTATTTTGATGCTAATTCTTGTAAGTTCAAGTATTTTATGCAATTTTAACTACTCCAATAATGTAACTTTGGTTTCGACAAATATAATTTTATCATGCATTTAGACATTGCATGCTCAAAAAAATATTGGTAATAGGTTTAAATTATGGAAAGAACTTGGGTACAATTCCCTAAGTATGATTTATAATTTTTTTCTAATGAATATATAAGAAGGGTATAATTTTCTTTTATACATATGCAATTTCCTCCTATTTTTATTCCCTAAAAAATATTTATATTTATCATATTTTATTAGAGAAAAATATAAACCACACTTACGAAATTGTATTTAAGTATTCTTCTTAAATTATTTATTAAGAAAAAATGTGACAAATTATATATAATTATTATATAAGAAGAAAAAAATTGAGAAACCCACTACCCAACCCAACCCACAAATTTGTGGTTTTATCTAAACGGATCCAATGATCCTATATGAGTTGGATCATGATTTTGACTAAAATCAACCCAAACCGATCCATGTACACCTCTACCAATATCTCCTGTTGGAACTATGACACCCTCTGGTTTCTAACACATCTACTCTGCTCATATGTTAAATTTGATGGTTTTTGGTTTCAAATATTGAACCGACTTATTTCACCAAATTAAACTACTAAAGGCTGAATTCATGTTTATTTCATCACTTTTATAAAGCAACATGCAACAATAACAACATGATAAGCTATGCTTTTCGACAAACCAGGAACTAAAATATATCAGGGATGTTAACAACAGCACAAAAACATTATTGTCGCATCAAAATTTTCAGCAGTGTTCTAGTTTGTGGCACTCATTAAGTAGGATTAGACTCCAGGAATAGGATACTTCGTGGCAAGAGCTTCAACTTTCCTTCGCAAATCTGAAACCTTATCTTTCAAAGGAAATTCAGGAGATACCACAAAGTTCAAGAAATCTTGAACCTTGGTTCCGGAGGCCAAACTTTTGGCTTCAAGACTTATCTGGACACCCTCGTGAATTAAGTCTGCGACAAGTTCAAATTCTTTCTCACCAAGTCCTCTTGTTGTCATTGCAGGTGACCCGATGCGAATGCCTCCGGGAACTTGGGCACTTCTGTCACCTTTTGTAATCAACACATATGTCAGTAACACAATTCCTATGAATGAAAAGTGTTTCTACATAAAAATCATGTCAAAATGCAGAGCATAAGACTTACCGGCTACTGAATTCTTGTTGAGGGTTATAAAGGCCAAGTCAAGAATTTTCTCCACCCGAGCACCATCAATACCCTAAAGGATATGATGTTGATTAATATGAAATACAGCCAGGGTACTAAAAAGAATATCCATCAAGAAAAATCACATCATGACAATAATTTACACAGCATTGCGATTTTATGAGAAAATTTCACAATCTTCCATTATTTTTACAACAGATCGAGGAGGAAACAAAAGAGAGAAAGCAGGAGAAGCTTACCGATGGCCTCAAATCAACAAGAACCAGGTGATTGTCACTACCACCAGAAACAAGTTTATATCCATGCTCAACTAATCGGTTAGCAAGAGCTCTGCAGTTGGCAACCACCTGCAGGATAGTAGGTTGGTTTAGGAGGGTTATTGTTAGGAAGTGATTTATGTCAAACTCTAACCAACGATGAAAAGGGACATTGAAATATACCTGGTTTTGGTAATTTTTAAAATCTTGTGACTGAGCATACTTCAAGGAAACTGCTAGTCCTCCAATTGTGTGATTATGGGGACCCCCCTGAATAATTCTAAACTATATTAAAATCACAAAATAGGATGGTAAAGAAGCAAATGCATCTGACTCCATAGGTGCATAAGGATTCATGTCATTTCTCAATTAGGATAGTTAAAATAGAACAAATTAGAGGACATTCAAACCTGTAGACCGGGAAAAACAGCATTGTTGATGGCAGTCTCAAGATCAACACCGTGCACGGGATCTTTCTTGAAGAAAATCATACCACCTCTAGGACCTCTCAGAGACTGGAGAAAGTCATTAATGTTGTAAGTACTAACCTCCCAGCTTAAAGTAAATAGAATAATGTTTCACACAAAAAATGCATATTCTTCTCTCTTTCATTTTGAGTGTATAAACACAAAGCAAACACAAATATCTAGAAGCAGACCTTGTGGGTTGTGGTGGTCACAATATCGCAAAACTCAAAGGGGTCGGCAAGCACAGATGCAGCAACAAGTCCACTTATGTGAGCCATATCCATCATAAGGAAGGCACCTACGCTATCTGCAATCTTCCCATGCATATAAAGATGTTATTAGCTTTTTGCGAAGAAAAAAAACACATGATGTAGAGAAGCCGATAATTGGAATTTAATTCCATAAAATGCTCAAGTAAAGAACATACTTTTCTAAAGCGGGGATAATCAATGTCTCGGGGGTAAGCACTAGCACCAGCAATAATGAGCTTCGGTCGGAAGATACTGGCAGTTTTCTCCAGCATATCATAATCAATAAGACCTGTTGCAATTCCAAAGTGGGAAGAAAAAAATCATCCCAAGTTATTCCACAAATAAGTCAATAATATCTGAAGCAGTTTTAATGACAAAATATAAGTACCTGTTGATTCATCAAGTCGATAAGCCATAGATTCAAAATAAACTGATGTAGCCGATACACGTCTTTTAGGTGTCATGAATCCATGAGATAAATGGCCACCATGAGACAAATCCAAACCCTGGCAACATATAAGAACAATAACATAATGAATGAAATCCCATTTAGGAACTCGGAAAAGCCAGACTTAAGCGAGCGAAAATTAGCTTACCATTATTCGATCATGTGGTTTAAGAATTGCAGTGTACACTGCAAAATTAGCCGGCGAACCAGATAATGGTTGAACATTTACACCCCACTTGTTACCATCTAAATGAAATGCAGCGAGTGCCCTTTCTTGGCATAGGATTTCGAGCTCATCAATATGCTCATTGCCACCGTAATACCTTACATGTAAACGGAATTCAATCAACAAAACTACAGAAGATAAGACAAAGGAAGTTCTTAAAGAAAAAAAAAATCTTTTTTAGGGAAAAAATAAAAGTAGATAGAATTTACCTTTTACCCGGCAAACCTTCTGAGTACTTATTTGTGAGGCATGAACCAACTGCTTCCATGACTGCTCTAGATGTAAAATTTTCAGAAGCAATAAGTTCAAGACTTTTAAATTGCCGGTCTTTTTCCTTGCCAATTATTGAATGAACCTCAGGATCAGCTTCACTCAAGCCATAGTCTAGGAAACTAGACCCATCACCTGATATGGTAAAAAGCATATGATTCCATGACCAAAAAAGATCACCACTGATGCATACATATATACTTAAATTTCAGCATACAGAATGATAACAAAAATTTGAACTTTATAATGATACTTAACATAATAACATCTAATATAAACTAGATTAAAATACAGTAATACACCACCACCACAACAACAACAACAACAACAACATTATAATTAATGAATGAAATGGTAAACTAGATTTACCTCCAATTTGAGGGGCAGTGAAAATAGCTCCTTCTACATGAGAAACTTTGCAAGGTTTGAAATTGTTGTTGAATTTAAGCTGAGGTAAAAAGCCATGAGTGGTAAAGAGTTGATTCTGGAACTTAGTCGAAAGTGGTTGTTGCAAAGAACCCATTAGTGCAGCTCCGGTACACGCCGTTGGCATTTTGGGAATTAGGGTTTTGTCTGTGTTAGCTCTAAGAACAGAGAGAGAGAGAGAGAGAGAGAGAGAGAGAGAGAGAGAGAGAAATGGGTTGTAAGAACGGCGAGATATATAAATAGGAACACGGGTAAACCGGTTTACCGTATTTGAAAACCCCGACCCGTTTAATAAAATAACCAAACTAGCCCACGTGCTTCCCAAAAATGGTGAACCGGTGTACTATTTTAATAAACTGGTTTTGGATCGGTTTTACAAACGGAAAATGGTTGGTGATTAAGGGATGAGTGAGTTTAGATCTTATTATTAGGTGCTAACAAACCTGTTATTGTTATTTTGAGTGTGGCTTTGGTTATTCGGTGAAAAGAATTGTTTTTGGGTGAGTTGTTTGTGATTATATTTAAACAAATTTAGTTGAAAAATAAATTTAAATTTAAAAGTACATTTAAATTAAAAAATTACATCTTTTAATATTATCCAGATCCCAACGACTTTCGAACCAATTCACAATTCTAATCTGACTTTATAAAAAATGAATGGTTTAGTCTATGTTTGGAAAAACACAAAAACAAGGTAGAAGAGAAGCTACAAAAAAGTAGCTTCACAAAATCACAGAAAAAGGCGGTTCCAAACACACTAATCACAAAGTACTTTGGTTCTGATGGTTTGGTTAAACTGTAATTATTAATTTAGAAAGGACATTTGCTTGTAAATTAGCCACCCAAGTTTTCTTTCTTAGCAAACCAAGCCATGAAAAGACAAATCGCATTTTCACCATTCAAACAAGTTTGGTCAGCTAGAACAGAATCAGATTCATTTCTTTAAGAAAAGTCATTGCATCTCAACAAGTGACAAACTTCGGCAACAATTACATACCAACAAAAATAGCATCTAACCCTTTCCAATGCTTTTTGCCAAAAGAACATATTCTTTCAAAATTCAAAGGCATAGAAAACCGAATTTATAATGCTTAGTGTTTCCATTGTTCTATTTATACTGTCATAACTCATACATAACAGCATTGAAATTGATCATCATCTAGATCAACAAGTATCCAACCACAGAATTTTTCATATGTAACTTACATCAACTCCAGGATCTAATTATTTCATTTTGCATTTATATATTTTAGCTATCCAACTCTATTCTTTTCGGCTCGAGAAGTAGTTATCCTGTGACTATAAAGTCGTTGAATATTTTCACTCAACATGTGAAAGACCCCCGCCGCTTTCAGCACGCGTCCTATAGAATAATTTGTTAAGGATTAGGAAAGAAAAACACATATGATAGCAAAGGGATGGGTTCAAGAGTTCAATACTTACTTGTGATCAGAAGGATTTGGCATAAGCTCGTAAACAATAGTGGCTACGACATCCCTCTTTAACTATACAATAAACAGTGAAGTTAATATTTTGACTAAACTACACATCCAACAGCCCTGAACTTACGGTAAAAAGAATTACCTGAGTAGCTTCGCCTTTAAGACCAATATAGTGTATTTTGGTAGTGTCGCCTCCAAAGTTATCAGGAAAGTGTAATGTAATATTTCCCACACTTTGAAATTTAGAATACCTAATCAAAAGGATGGATGCATTAAGAAACCATGGTAGCAGAGACACAAGAAAAGTCCAATGATATAAAGCACTATTGCCTCTTATTAGTGATGATGATAGTGCGTAATTACACAACATTCATATAACATAGCAGTGTCGCGTTAAGCCAACTTAGTTGGTAGCTGTGCAGAGACATTAGTTATAACATAGCAGTTGAATTTCGTACGTGAATTATTGCTTTAATGAGAGTTGGTAAACGATAATGATTACCTTGTTTGGTATTCCAATACTCCTTGCATATTCTCAGCTAAATCCCATTCCTTTATAAATAAAAATCAGTATTATATTGTAACCAAAAACAAATAAAAAATCAGTATTATACAAGCTATGGTGTCTATTTGTTAATTAATTCACTGAAAATTTTGAAGTAAAATATACCTGAATGGCTTGCATGCTTTGTGCATCTGAAAAGTCAATGCCATCTCGATTGATAAACCTAAATCAAGTTGAAGTTCTCAGTCTTAGGGGTGGAGAATATTTGAAATAAATATAAATTATTGTAATCGAATATACAAATATTGCATCTACTGACTACATAGGAGAAACTTGGAAAATAGATGAAATTAGCCAAGTTGGTCCAAGCGCGAAATCATTGCCTTTATGCAAAAGTCTGTATTGGAAAAGCGGTTGAAAAACATTCATTGTTAGTTTAATCTTTCATCTTATAGCAATGTCCTTTCGGTAAATCTCCGGTATATTTTTAAAAGAACAGAAAAGCAAAGGTGTACTTGTAAGCAAAATGCATAAGGAAATTCATTTTGCATAAGCATTTCTTAAGATACATATGTTAATCACCTCAATATCCAACCAAAAATATAAGAACTCAATAAAACATTGCTCTCTAAGAAAACATAGAGGTCACAATTTCGAGTTGATCATCAATGATAAATGTCATAGAAGGGGTATCCACAATAGTAAACTAATAAAGCAACAACAACCATTTTAAACTAGGTTGGTGTCAAAGCCAAACATTAAAGAAGAAGTACTTTCATCTGAACTTAAAACAGAACAATTATTACAAAAAGTTGCTCGTGAAAAGAGTCCATCAAATACAACAAAGTTGTTTCAAAAACATAAAAACTTACGCTCTCATCTTAGAAGGACTTGTTCCATCAGCTCCACCAACAATGGATATGCTCTTAAGCTTGACATCTGAAGTAAATCTATTTCACAAAGAAGCACAACAAGCAATATAAGAATTTATAACTGTTTAGTTTTAAATTAAAAAATGGAGAATGTGACAATCACTGTGATTAATGTTTTTGGCAGAATGCTAATCATACAAATCTCAAGTTTGGCAAAACAAATAAAAGCTTTACAATGAAAAGAAACATGATTCAATACAATGAAAACACAAAGCCACTCCCACACCTTTATTCAATATGTTAATCATAAACATTAATTCATTCTTTTCTACAAAAATACTCAAAAAATGAGAAATATTTCTCTATTTTTATCTCTAAACCCGCAAACAGAGCCTACATTTACACTCACTGCTTTATTATGCAACTATGATAAGCATCTATAGTACAGTTGTGTATTGGAAAAACTAGACAATTTCGTCATACATCAAGATCTCACAATTTCATCACAAGAAATAGGTTGCAAAATTGCGAAGTAATAAAAGACTAATTAAAAGATGAATAAAAGCTTTATAGCACAGACACCTCTGAAAAAATAGTGTCCGACTAGAGTTAGTGTCCAAAACCAACATCAACACTTGTGATTACATTAATCTATTCATTTTTTCAAATTATTACCGCTATTGATGTCTGTTTCATAGAATAAAAGTAACTTACGGAATGAATACAAGTAACTCAGGATCACCCTCATTGCTTTCCAAGTGTTCCTATTGAATTGAAGCCATAACAAGAACAACAACAACAACAAAAACTTAAACTTAAATATTCATATTAATCATATCTAGTAACAAATGTAACATGAAAAATTAATTAAAAAAATGAAAAGAATGATTATTACCTCAGAAGTATTCAAACGGTGTTCCCAAGCTTTGAAAACTGATTTAACACTGCCAGGAGTAGCTTCATTCAAAGCAGATGCCTGAAAGAGAATTTGGAATTGTGATTTTGTTGATAGAAATTGAAGAAAATAGAGAAAAGGAAAGAGGATTTTACCTTGGTGAGGTCGATGTGTTTGTAGAGAGACCAATCAGATGAACAATCATGATCTTCGCAACTGTGGTCATGCAAGCACGCCATTTTCGATTACCTCCCAACTCAACCAAGCGCACAGAGCAAGCGATGTTGTTGATTCTTTGCTCTTCGGTTTGGGCTAACCAATTTATTTGGGCCTTTACCTATATATATAAAAAGGGAATTTTTTGTCCCACCTATGTAGTTGAAAATATCCTTTTTGAAAATCCAATTTTTTCTTTGCATTTAGGAAATGTATTTTTGGAACACATTTTTTTTGGTTAAACATGAGTTATTCTCGAAAATGTATATAAGGGAGGAAATTGGAGTTATATTTTTGAAAATTATGCAGATAGTAGCACCATAAACTAAATTAAATTAAATGTTATTGGAAACTATAAAATGAATGCATGACATGAATATATATATATATATATATATATATATATATATATATATATATATATATATATATATATATATATATATATATATATATATATATATATATATATATGATCTAATCTGATCAGACTTGGACCGTCACGGCTGGCTCTGAGCTGAAGTTTTGAACGAGGTGGGGGGTACCTGCAAGACACTCCGATGCTGAAGTAAGTAAGAGCACGAGCAGGCAAGAGTATGAGTATGGGTAAAAGAATGAATACCTGACCCTCTGGGAACAGAGGGTATTTATAGCCCCCAGCGCTGGGCCAAGGTTCCTTCATTGGGCCGGGCAGGTTTGGCCCAATGGAGGAACTGTCAGGTTCTACGTGGGTAGTGGAGACCCGCACGTGGTCCCCTTCTTGGATGTCCTGCGTGAAGTACGGACGGACGAGGACGCGGTCTTTTCGGGATTCAGGTGATGGCGTAGTGGATAGAGTCTGCCCTAGGAGGAGTGCTCGAGCTGAGGTCGAGCAGGGTAGCATGGAGTCGAGGACGTCGCACTAGCAGAGAATGTCGGGCAAAGATATGGCCTTTTGGTCGGCGTGACCCCTTGCAAGATCGTTTGGATTGGGCCTTCACCATTGCTTTTGGGCCAACCCGGCCCAGTCCAGAACAGGAGCCCCCCAAGTCGTGGTTCTTGTAGTAGGAGCCATGACTTGATCTTAGGTCGCCTGCGTCACGGGGTCCCGTCCCCGGCTAGAATATGTCGTTCCCGCGGTTTGCTCGAGGAGTTTTCCCCGTGTCGGGCATACGAGATGATACCGCGCGAGGAGCGCTCGGGGAGTCTCGACGGGCTGCGTTCGCTGGGCACATGAGGCATCTCTTGGGAATCGTGTCGCCACCCTATTGACGATAGGGTCATCATTGCCTAGGGGAGCTACACGTCGAGGAGGGAAGTTCTGTGGTTCCCCGGGATGACGTTTGGTATTCCACGTCATCACTATAAATAGGGTGTTTGGGCCCCAGAACGTGTTTTCCCTGTTCGCGCTTCTCCTCTTCACTCTGTTTTTGTTGTTGCTGTTCTTCCCAGATACTCATAGGACCGCCGTGATCTCCGTCGCTGATTTCCTTTCTCCGTCGTCACATTACCTTCCTGATTCCAAGTAAGTGTCTCGTCTCCTTCGTTTTTCCTCTGTGATGCATGATTTTCATTGTTTTCAGACGTTTTAGAGACTGTACGCCTGGGATTAGCCCGGTAGATTTATATTTAGCTCGACAAATCCATGTTTATGCCCGGTGAACGCGTGTATGCGCCCGGTAAACGCATAGTTTAGGTATTTGACTCGCAGTGCTGCCCGGGGACTTCATGACTCAGGGCGCCTAATTCTTGGTAGTGCCCGGTAAACTCATGGCTCTAGTTTTGAGACCTACGAACGTCGCTCGCCATGTTCGTAGCCTGGGTCGACACATTCGTGAGTGGTCGAGATGTTGGCCTATTCAGGTGATCTGTAGCTTGTCGTGGTAACTGGGAGTCGGGGAGATGGCTGCTCTTTTTTGTTCCGAAACACCAACTTTGTGGTCGCGCGTGGAGCGACGTGGTTTGTCGTGCCCTTCATCTCGTCCATTATGGCGAGCGTGTGGTTTCGCTCCCAATTGATTGGTTTCCCGTGCTTTATAGGTAACCATGGCGGACGAACCGTGTTCTTCAGGGCGCACCGAGGTGGAAGAATAAAGTGCTGATGAAAATGTGAATTTGGTTGACACCATAGAGGACCCTCTGCTGGAATGGGTGGGTGCCGAGCCCAGAGGGATAGCTTCGGCCTATAGTCGACGTAGTCGAAGGGCATACACCATCCTCGAGACGGGCAGTAGCCAGCCCAGTTTCCAGAAGAACTTCATCGTCACTCGACCAACTTTCACCGCACGAATCTGCTCGGAGTTCCCCGAGTATGGATTCCCCATGTATGAAATTGCCTTCAAGGACCTTGGGTTACAGCTGCCCTTCAGCGATTTTCAGGTCGGGGTCTTCAGCCATCTGGGGCTGGCCCCGTCGCAGCTTCACCCAAATTCGCTCGCTTTCATCCGGGCACTTGAGCTAACTTGTCGGTTTCTAAGGATTGGGGCGACCATACCCCTCTTCTTCAGAGTCTTCCACCTACAGCGCCAATCTCGGGGAGGCAAGCATAGCTGGGTTTCCCTGAAACAGTCGAAGAGACTTTTCAGGATGTACATGGATTATGTGCGGGGTTTCAAGGACAAGTGGTATATTGTGAGGCCAGTTACCACAGCAGGTTTAGAGTCTGTGTATGAGGAGGAAATAGTCATAACCGACGACCACGGGGAAGCCCTTTTAGACGACGAGGGGCATCCGGTGTTAGGGCGTGTGGCCAAATTTCCCTTGCATTGGACCTCGAGGCATTACGAGCATGGCACCGGGTACTACCATACGTCCGCGGGCGAGATGAGCTCCGAAGACGAGAAGGCTTATGGTACTCTCTGTCGGTATGTCGACAGTTTCTTCCCCGCCAGATGGGCCACGAGGGAGGGGGAGGATATTCTGGACGAGGAAGGTTATCCGACCTTCGAGGCCCGACCGATTGACACGAAGGCACTTATGGAGTGCCAGTCCTTCGGGCAGGCTGCGAGTTTGCTAGGTCGTTGTTGTTTTGTCTTGTTTGAATTTCTTTACTTGTTTATTTGTTCGCTTATTTGCTCGTCACTAACCTGGGGTTCTTTCATGCAGGTCTGATGGTCGGATGGAGGGAGAGGCTCTTGAAGTTGTCCTGTGACAAGAAGGTAAATAAGAGGGTGGTGAGACCTCCTCAAGCGACGAGGATGGGCCCGCCACATAGTTCGGGCATTTCTCAGGCGACGAGGGTGGATTCGCCACCTAGCTCGGGAGCTGCTTCGGGAGGGATCCCGGACGTCCAGGAGGTCGAGCCACACACCGACCTGATACAGAGGAAGAGGAATCGGGTGGAAAGCCAACCAGAGGTCGGTGAGGACTCCAGCGCCGTGAGGTCCTTCGGGTTGCCCCCTTGCTTTAAAGAGGAGGGTTTATTCGAGGGGTTTCCCTTGTTCGTGAGTGCTGATGAAGCCGAAACTATCAGGCGGATGAGCAAGGAAAACCGGAGAAGGCACCTGGCCGCCAATATGGTCGGGCTGGTAAAGATGGCCGAGATGGCCGTTGTGCTGGCCGAGGAGGGGGAGGATGCTGACCGTATCAAAGAGTTGGAACAGGAGAAAGTTGCCCTCACCTCGAGTTCGCGAAAGTTGAAGGCTGCTCTGGAGCGCTCCGAGGAGATGTTCTGCGAGCAAGCCGAGCTGCTGGCGGCGGAGACAGAGTTGCTGGCTCTGGAGAAAGAGAACTCGGGGAAGCTGGCCGAGGAGAGAGACCTTTTTCATGCGGACCAGGAACGTCTGGAAATTGACAACGGGCGTCTCGCCAGAGAGATCGAGGACCTAAAGGCCGTTATGCTTCCTGCCGAGGACGAGTCGGAGGATACAGCTCCTTTGAGGAGTCGATCGGAACTGGTCACTCGTATCCAACTTCTCGAGGGGGACTGTGTCGGAGCTATGGCGGACGGCTTTGAAGCCGCGGTCAGCCGGCTTTCCCTGTTGAATCCCAGCCTGAACACTGAAGGGGTGAGCCATATGTCCCAGATTATTGATGGTCAGGTCGTGCCTCCACCCGACTCTCCTGTTGTTGGTGATGGTAGCTCCGCGGAAGCTGAGTTGTGAGGTAATGATGGGGCATGTGCGCCTCGTTGATGTTTGTTTTGGGCCTGCATGCCCGTTCGTATTTTTTGGGCATGCGTGCCCGTTCTTTGTATTTCCTGAACATTGCCGGCCTTTTTGGTCGGTTTACATCTATTTATTTTGTTACCTACGGGCATTTTGAATGAATGTTTGTTTCAACTTTTTGATTGTTTGCCCGTGCTTGTGTTTTACGTTTTTGCGCAAAAATTGGCCTAAGTTATGGGCTCGAGTCGTGCCCGTATGTGGCTGTGACTTTGTTGGCAAATTTGCCTAAGTCCTTTGTTCGTGTATGTGCTCGGCCTCTTCTTGATGGCCAGAGTCGCCTGAGTGGCGAACTCGAGGGGAGAGACTCCTTTTTGACCCTTTTAGATGGCCCGACATTCTTCGAGATTCGTCGGGCGTGCGGAGCGAAGCCGCTTGGTCGGGTATTCGACCCGGTCGGGGGTTATTTGCCCGCGGCGTGAACTACCCATCGCGAGCTGGGTGTTCTGCCCTACAGGTACTTCGACGATGGAGATCGATCGAGGTGTCCACGTCGGGCGCTATCGTTTGTTCTTGTCTACTGAACGATGTTGTGCGGTTTGGACGTAGGTCGGGCCTGTACCTCGGCCTCTCTACGGGGGTCAGACGTTTCTCCTCGTTGATTGGGCGCGTGAGTCGACAGTCGAGGGTCCTTGGTGTTGGTAGTTTTTAACTGTAGTATTGCTTCAGTTTAGCAGCGTTCCAGGGTCGTGGTAGTGGCTCTCCGTCTAGTTGCTCGAGGTAGTACGCCCCGGTACCGGTGGTGCCGTGGACGCGATAAGGCCCTTCCCAGTTCGCGGCCAGCTTCCCTTCGCGGGAGTCTTTCTGGTTCCTTCGTAATACCAGACTGCCGATTTCGAACTCGCGCTTAATGACCTTGTCATTGTGGCGCAGAGCCACTC